AGCAGATCCACGGCCTCCTCTGGGCTCACTCCAACAGGTCCATGTCTCTCCTATGCTGGGCACAGGAGCTGGACACAGCATGTGCATGAAGCCAGGCTGAGTTCAGGTGAGGCTGGCATTGAAGAAAACAAAGACTATTTTTGGGTGGATTTCACTCAGTCCCCAATGCTGAGGGCAGAAGTGATTGGGGAATTCCTATTCCACTCACATCCCAAGCTCTTCCCAGCATTTGCCCCATCTGCAGCTCAGGCTCCTATACCTGGAATCAGTCATGGTTTCACTCAGCCAGCTCCTGAATTTCCTGAGCTGATAACCCCCCTTTGGATAGAGCTGCATTCCCTCAGCATGGCAGGGAGAGCCTCTCAGTTTCACATTAAAGAAAGGACAAGATGTATTTAAAAACACCTCCGGGGGAGAAGGACCCCCCTCACCCCACACCCCACCGCCTTCTCCACTCAGCCAAATCAAGAATCCAATCACAATCCAAAGGACACAAATCCCATTTGGAGCTACAGCAGCAGCACAGCCATTTAAAGTTCTCTCCTCTGGCAATCCTTCAAATGGAACGAACAACTACTGATAGGGATGAAAATGCCTTGGGGAGGCGTAGAAAAATTCTCATTTATTCCCAGAGCTTCTTAAGCACTTTAAGGATGTCGTAACAGGTTTTATTAACCACCCTGAGCAAAAGAAAAGAAAATATCACTGAGTGTAAATTAACGTTTGGGGGTATTTTCCAGACTCTCCTGCATGGCAGGCATTATCACAAATCGTAGCTGGTGGGAGCCTGCAGAGGGGGAGGTTTATTAGCTGCTTCTCCCTCCTGTTGCAATAAAAGGAAAATAGTCTTTTGCAGCTCTTTTACCAATCTGCCTCATCCAGGCGTGGGGAAAGGAATTAAACTAAACTGCGTGACAAGATCTTGGTTGGACAATATTTGAAGGGATGTTTCTGAATTGCTCTGCTGCAAGCCCCCAAAATCTTTATCTCAGAGCTGTTTTAGATAACAGAGAATACTTCTCAAATTAATAAAAATGATTAATAACCAGAAGAGCCCCACAGCCTCCTGCTCCCTCTGGAGATGGACACCAATTGTGTGCCCAGCATCAGTACCAAAGCCTATGAAACAACACAGGAGTCTCAGGCCAGGCTCAATCCAACAGGAATTCTCAGCTGGCAGCTGACAACAAGCCACAGCCCCCACCTCCCTCACAGGCAGGCATCCTGCTCCTGACCTCCCCCACTTCATGGAATCGATCCTGGAATGGTTTGGATTGGAAGGAACATTGGAGACCAGCCAGTGCCACCCCCTGCCATGGGCAGGGACACCTTCCACTATCCCAGGCTGCTCCAAGCTCCATCCAGCCTGGCCTTGGACACTTCCAGGGATGGGGCAGCCACAGCTTCTCTGGGTCTCACTTCTCAGTAAGTGGCTTCAAGGAAGGAAAGATTGGCCAAAACCCCTCAAAACCACAGCCCCTGTGCTGCTGACAGCTTTGAGATGGCACTAGAGGTGTCCCAACAGCCTGGCTCTCCAGCCAGGCTACACCTGCAGCACCTACCTTACCCATCCCATTTTAACACTCACAGAATCATTTGGGTTGAAAAAACCTCCAAAACCATCAAATCCAAGCAGTGACAGGTCCCCAGGTTGTCACCCAGTCCAGAGCTCTGGGTGGACACATCCAGGAACACCTCCAGGAATGGTGACTCCACCACCTCCCTGGACAGCTCCTCCCAATGCTGGACAGCCCTTTCTGGGGAAAAAACTCCTCCTAATCTCCAACCTAACCCTCCCCTACTGCAACTTTTGAGGCTGTTTCCTCTCCTGTCACTGGTTGTCTGGGAGCAGAGCCCAGTCCACACCTGGTTACACCCTCCTGTCAGGGAATTGCAGAGATGTTTCTCCATCAGGACAGGGGAAAGGCAACCCGGGGGGGGAAGGGAAGGGAAGGGAAGGGAAGGGGCCACCTGCAGGAGCCATTGCCCAGCCCCTGGAGATGGGTGGGGGTCCCTGGCAGGGGGCTGGAGGTGGGAGGGCACCTCCACCCCGGAGGCTGAAGCAGCTCCATCTCCTCATGCTCCCCGGCTGGGACAGGCGGAGCTCCGGCCCTAGGACGGGAGGATCACAGAACCACTGCGATTGGAAAAGAGCTCTGAAATCATCGAGCCCAACTTGTGACCCAACACCACCGTGTGAACCGGACCAGGGCACCGAGTGCCCCGTTCTGCCGTGTCCCAAACGCCTCCAGGGACGGCGACTCCGCGACTTCACCGTGGGCGGGATCGCGCTGGGGCCGCCCCAATCCCAGCCCCGAAGGTATCAGGAGAACCCCAACCTCCCACTGCCCACACACAGAGCTGCAAA